ACATTTTAAGACCCCTGAAGAAGTGTGGAATGGTAGACCTGTTGACCTTAGCAACTTAAGAGTATTTGGGTGTGCAGCCTTTGCACATCAATATGAAGGGAAACTAGATCCTAGGGCTCTTAAGTGTGTCTTCTTGGGTTATGGTGAAGGGGTAAAAGGGTATAGACTATGGGTCAGGGTAACCAAAGGGTATAAGATCATAATAAGTAGAAATGTGGTGTTCAATGAAGATGATCTACCTTGTTTGAAAACTGATAGTAGTTCTGGACCTTTAAATCATACTGATAGCATAGAGAGAGCTACTGAAATTGAGGTGGAGCATGTTGAGGATGATAATTTGTCACCTAATATTCAGACCGGAGAGGTTGAAGTTGATATTGATGTTGAACCACATAGAACTGATGAGGTTGAACATTTTGATACTGATTTAGAGACAAATCAGACCTTAGGTGATTATCACTTGGCTCGAGATACGCAAAGGAGATATGTTAGACCACCTGTGAGGTTTGATGATGAAGTATCTTTGCTCACTGTTCAAGGTTTTATTGAGAATGAACTTGTGTCATATGATGAGGCTATAATTAACAAAGACTCCAAGCATTGGCTTGAGACAATGCAAGATGAGATGAAATCTCTTAAGAAGAATAAAACATGGGTGATTGTAAATGGATCTTTAAGATAAATAGGGGGAACAAAGTGAGAACGACATTATATACAAAGCTAGACTAGTGGTTAAGGGCTTCACTCAAAAAGAAGGAATAGATTTTAATGAAATCTTTTCTCCAGTTGTAAAATTTACAACTGTTAGAGTGATATTAGCCTTAGCAGTTTAGTTTAATTGGGAATTGTATCAATTGGACGTCAAAACTGCCTTTTTAAATGGAGATCTTGAAGAAACTATTTTCATGGAACAACCAAAAGGTTTTGAGATGAATAAAATTTTTGACCTTTTGTGCCTTTTTAAAAAATTCTTGTATAATTTAAAACAAGTTCAAAGACAATGGTACAAGAGATTTGATACCTTTGTGTTTGGACTTGGTTTTAAAAGAAGTAATTTTGATACATATCTTTATTGTAAAGGAAATGGTGGTGAAAATTCACTCTATCTTCTTCTTTATGCTGATGAAATGCTCTTAGCTAGTCATGACATAAAAGAAATAGAGTTAATTAAGATAAAATTGAAATCTGAATTTGAAATGAAGGATTTAGGTCCTGTTAGAAAAATTTAGGTATTGAAATTAAAAAGGAATAGAAGGAAAGACATACTTAGTCTAAGCCAAAAAACCTATGTTTTGAAATTGTTAGAAAAATTTTATATGAGTGATGCTAAAAGTGTGAGTTTACCTTTAGCAAATCACTTTAAACTTTTAAGTGATCAATCTCCCAAATTTGAAACTGAGTTCAAAAGAATGGCAAAATTGCCTTATTCTAATGTAGTTGGATCTGTTATGTATCTTATGATTTGTTCTAGACCTGATTTGACTTTCTCTATAAGTGTATTGAGTAGATTTATGTCAAATCCTGGTGAAACTCATTGGGAAGCTATGAAATGACTTCTTAGATATATTAAGGGAACTTGTGACTTGGGGATTCATTATAGGAAGCAATCCGATGGTGTTATCTTGAGGGGTTACACTGATTCTGACTATGCAGGTGATAGGGATAATAGAAAGTCTACTTCTGCTTGTGTGTATACATAATGTAATTCTTGCATTAGTTGAAAATCTCAATTACAGAAAATTGTTGCATTATCTTCAACTGAGGCTGAATATATTGCTGCAACTGATGCTATGAAAGAGGGTATCTGGCTGAAGGGACTGTTAAATGAGTTTGGTTTTGTTAAAGATGTTGTTTCATTTTCTGATAGCCAATCTGCCACATATTTGAGTAGAAATCCTGTTTTGTATAATAGATCTAAACATGTTGATGTGAAATTTTATTTCATTAGAGATGTTATCTCACAAGCTGTTGTGAAACTTGAGA